GGCCGCCGGCCCCCGCGCGCGCGCGCGGGGGGGGGGGGGACGCGGCGCGGCGCCCGACGCGCGCGCCGCGCAGGCTCACGGGCGCGCCCGCGAACGCGACGATCGTCGCGGGCCGCGAGGGCGTCTCCGCGGTCGTCAGGGCAGGACAAGAGAGCGAAATTCCAAACTTCAAAGCCTCATATCTCGGCCATTTTCCACTCGTTTCGGCTGATTTTTGGACGAGCGATCATCTCTCGGAACGGTCTCGAAGCGTGGATGCTTTTCCCGGAACGCGCGCGCGCGGAACACTCACGTTGAAGCGACGTTGAATCTCTCTTGTGCTGCCCAGGCGGTCGTGCTGCGGGTCTACGACTGGGACGAGCTCATGGACGAGAACAACACGGCCCTCAAGGGCCTCGAGGTCAACGCCGTGCAGCGCGCCGAGGAGCGCACGAAGGCGTCGGGCCTCTCCGTCACGTCCGAGAAGATCTCCATCTACCGGTCGTTCTTCACGGACGTCGACGTGAACCGCACGGGCCGCGCGAACCTGTGCCGAATTCAAATCTTCAACTCGACTTCAATGTGAGCGTACGCGACAGTTCCGACGAAATTCTTCGGCCGTGCTTCGAGAACTCGACGAGAGCAATCGATTCGTCCAAAAATCAGCCGAATCGACTTCGATGTGACCGAGCTAGAGAATTCTCAAGTTTGGTCAGGACCACCCAAACCAGTGGTTGAATTCGGCACAGGCGTGAACCTGAGCGAGCTCCTCGAGGCCATCCAGTCCAAGGGCACGTCCGTGTCCATGCGCGACGTCGAGAAGGCCTTCAAGTCCGCGGACAAGGACGGCGACCTCGAGCTCGAGTTCGACGAGTTCATCATCATGTGCGACAATTTGTTACGCCGCGGCAAGCGGCTCTTCGAGCAGAAGCGCGTGAGCGACGTGCTCGTCGACATCGCGCGGAGCCACGTGCTCCTCGAGGCCTTCTACGTCGCCATCGAGCGCACGTGGAAGCACACGGCGTCGCACGAGCCGCGGACGTACGCCGAGCTCCAGCGCCGCATCGGCGAGCTGCCCAAGGAGCGCATCGACGCGTCGACGTTCATGCAGGGCGGCGCGAAGCAGGACCAGGGCCTGAAGATGAAGGCCGAGAAGAAGAAGGGCCCGCCGCCCAAGGCGGCCGGCGCGGGCGCGCACGACGACGTGCCGCTCACGGCGCGCGGGGCCGACAAGGACGCGAAGCAGGCGGCCAAGCCCACGGGGCCCGGCGTCGTCGTCGTCTCCGCCGACGCAGCGCTCGACGCGGCCATGGAGTTCTGGGCCGCGGAGCACGCGGCCAAGGGCAAGCTCGCGCGGACCATGTCCGCGCGGAACATCATCGGCCGCCTCGTGAGCCGCTGGCTCAAGGGCGTGCGCCAGAAGGCCGTCGACCGCCAGGCCTGGCACAACTTCCTGCGCCACTACCCGGACCAGGCGACGCTCCGCCGCGTGCTCAAGGGCAGCGTGCAGTACGACGAGTTCGTCGACCTCGTCGAGGAGGCCTACGGGTTGCCCGTGTCGGACACGCTCGGCACGGTCCTCTTCTCCGACTTCGAGGACTACGCGGACAAGATCGCGACGACGTCCGACGAGGCCATCGAGGCGGGCCGCTGTGTGGAAATCAACCAGTGAGCTGGGACGTCGGGGCCAAACTTCTGAAATCCCTAGCTCGGTCAAATCGAAGTCGATTCGGCTGATTTTTGGACGAATCGATTGCTCTCGTCGAGTTCTCGAAGCACAGCGAAATAGTCTGGTCCAAACCGTTCGATTACGCGCACATTGAAGTCGGGTTGAAGATTTGATTTCCACACAGGCGGGCCGCGTGCACCTCGTCAAGCAGGTCGCGACGCTCCGCGCGCAGCTCTGGTTCCTCCGGAGCCGGTCCCGGCGCCTCGCGGGCCGCGACAAGGAGCTCAACATCACGCGGCGGTCGCGCATGGTCATCCTCCTCTACATCGTCAAGTCCTACGTCGAGGGCGGCCTCGAGGACGCCAAGGCCGCCGAGTCGAGCGACATGGAGACGAACGCCAAGGTCGCGGAGCTCCTGCTCTCCGCGCGGACCTTCGAGGTCAACGCGGACGCCGCCTTCTGCGCGCTCCAGGCGCGCGGCATCCGCATCGGCAAGTCCCTCGGCGCGGCCAAGGCCGCCGCGCCCAAGGGCAAGGGCAAGGGCAAGGGCAAGAAGGCCTAGGTAGCGCGCGCCCGGCGCGCCCGGCGGCGGCGCGCGCGGCCCCCGCGGACCGTCGTAACCGCCGGCGAGAGCCGCGCCGACAGACCCGCCGCCGCCCCGCGGGGGCCGCCGCCGCGGCAATTGCAAGCGGCCGGAGGCCTGGCCGGCGCCACGGGTGCCCAAAAAAATGGCCGGCATGCCGCCCGCCAAAGCCTTTTGCCCACACCATTTGAGCGTGCCGGACAAGTCGCCGCGCCGCCGTCGCCGTCGTCGTCCCGGCGCCGAGCGCCGCGCCGGCGCGAGAGCCGGTCGCTTTCGTCGCGGGCCCGCCCATGGCGCCCGCCGCCGGGGGCGGCGGCCGCGAGCTGGCGCCGCTCGCCAAGTACAAGCTCGTCTTCCTCGG